GTGGCCAGACCCTTCGTGGGAGATGCCAGCCTGCACCTGCACAATGTCCCGTAACACGGGGGACAGTCTGGGTCCTCCCCTTCGCTGCGCAGGTGAGGGGGAGTGCAGGGGATGGGCAGTCTGGGGATGCCCCTTTTTTGTCTGGGTAGCTTGAAGGTCCTTGTAGGTGGTGATGCAGGCCAGGAGAGCAGCTGCCTTCAGTTAGCGGGGACCGGGACCATGGAGCCAGGCGGTAGCTGAGGGGAATCGGCCGAGCGGAGGTTGCAAGCGGGATGAGACAGGATTAAGAAACTTGAAGCAGCAGGTGCTGCTGAGCTGCTGGCTGGCGCAGGTGGGAGCCCAGCGGGGCTGTGGCAGAAGGTAGCATGGAGAGAAACCCAGAAGGAACCTATCATCTCCATGAGTCCTTTAGATTTTGGCCAGGAGCTGCTGGGCAGCTCTTATCATTCTACATTATGTGCCTATCACAGTCTCGATCAGCTTTAATCAAGAGTTCGTTTGGATTTATGGTGCCCTAACACCAGTTACACGCCAATGCTCGGGCTGCTTGCACAGCTTGTCCTCCTGCCCGTGCCACCGCTCCAGCCAACAGGGACAACGGCACCCCTGCCCTCAAAATAACCACTCGCAGCGGGGCTTGGCTACAGCAATGCGGGCAGTTTTGACTCCGAAGTGCTGAAAGCATCTGGGTTTTGCAAGCCCTCTGAGCCATCACCCTTTTTAGCAAAGCCGCGTAAAACCCACTCCGTACACCTCTGTGTGTGCAGAGGTGCCAGCCTGGTCCAGCCGATGGGGAGAGGAGGAGCAGTGTTTGCCAAATGTGTGGGGAAAGCAGCTATTAAAATATTTAATTAAAACCCGATTTTAAATTACTTGACATCTTTTTCTGCGAGGGAGATGGGGAGCACAGTAACTCAGAGCGGGCGCCTGGGCTCGCTGCAGGAAGGTGGGAGCGAGGTGGTGGTGGGAGGCAGATGGGAGCAGCACCCACCACCGGGGTCTGCACCCTCGGCACCCCAGGAGCACAGCCTGGGCCTTCGTACCCTGCCAGCTGCGTACGCGGGAGCCATTTCAAAATAAATTATTTGGGTTACGGGGAACGACTAGTTCACTGTGTGGCTATTTCCAGCATGGAAATACCTATGGAAATACGCTATGCAATACCCAGGCTGCTTTAAGTCATGGATTCAAATCCCGGGGTCATACCAGTTCTGCCTTTCAAGGCGAATGAAAGAAGTTGTACGAAGCTTTGTGCAGAAGGTGGTGGTGGGGTGTGTGTTGAGAGAAGACCTTCAGATAAATGTGGTGTTTGTGGGCATTAAAAAGCCAGTTGTGCTAATCCTAGATGCTGTATTTTTAAGCTTCAAGTGCCACCGGTTGCATTATCTTGTTTCTTGGCTGCTTGAGACAGGAAAATTACATTTCAATTGCTTTTTAATGCAACTTAATCTGGTGCAAAAGTTAGTGTGCACCCTCTAATTTTGTTTTCCGAGCGGTTTATTTCAGCTAATTCCTAATCAGCCAACGCTAAATCAAAACAGGCCTGGCTCAAGCTGAAACAGATGAGTCCTCGCAACCTTTCCAAGCAATTTAATTAAATTGGCTTAAAATCATGCTCCAAGATAAGTGGGGGCAGCCTCCTGCACAGGCCAGCCCCCAGCATTTGCTCCTCTGCCTGGAGAGCTCAAGGTGCTGCAGGATAGGAACGTGCAACAAGGCTGCAAGAAGTTTATCGTTATCCTGGGCTGCTCTTTCCCTCTCTGCCCTTTTCATTCCCTCTCCACCTGCCAAGCGCAATCAGACCCGTCCTGTTCAGCCCTCTGTCACTGCCAGCGCAGGGAGGGAGAGGATGGGGAGAGAAAAACACGTGCAAATTGATTAGCAACCCCCCCTCCTCGGCCTTCGCTTCAGTCACTGATGGCATGGCAGGTGGCACCGCCGAGCGCTCGGCCCCACGAGCAGGCAGAGGATGAGCGGGGCTGGTTTCAACCTGTGCCGAGGACAGGGGCAGATCGATATTTGCCGAACGGGAAAGGGAACAACCGCTGGGGGAAAAAAAAGGTTTTGGTTTTCAGCATAAAAAGAGGGTATCACAGCTAATGGAAAGGAAAGGAGATAAAACGCTAAATCTACATGACAGTGTCTCCTGAGCTCAGCCTTGTGTGCTCAAGCTGAAAATCCACATCGTGACAGGTATGAAAAGCTGCGGTTCCAGTTTACAGGTTTTCTTTGTGGCTGCTCTCTCCACCCTGCCACCCTTCGCCCTGTGCTCCCACCAGGCACCGCAGGTTACTTAGGCTGTGACTGGTGGCAGATTTGAACACACCAGTGTTAAGCCCTGAGATAAAAGCACTGATTTTTCCTCCTCTGTTTTTTTTCATGTTTCTTCAATAGGTTTACCCTCACTGCAGGCAGAGAAAGGTACTGGTCAGAAAAGAAGTCAGCGTGTGGCATCTCTGCGTCGGGGTTAGGCAAGGCAGGAACAGCCCGGGCTCCGTCGCAGGAGGTTGCACGGCCACAGCAGCTTGTCTGAGCGATCCTTCTGTGAAAGGAGAACCTCACCTGGCAGAGAGCGAGCAAAGGTAGGGATTCCTGCCAACCCCCTGAACGTCTGCTCTCAGACAGCGTATTTTCTCCATCAGCTCTAATGTAGTCCATTAAGTTAACATCAACAAATTAATTTTACTTATTTGTTACGGGAACACCAAGGAAATATCCATGTGGGTTCCTGAACCAGCTGCCGAGGTAACTGCTGGTGGATGCGGGGCAATTCCCAAGTGTGGCAGGGATGGAGCCTGGAAATTCCTCCTTTTTCGGTTGGGATGCATCCTCCCGGCGCACGATCCCGGAGGGAGGCAGCGCTAACTCTGCAGCCTGCACCAATTCCTCCCGGGGAGGCAGACGTCGGGCAGCCGGTGAACCTCCCCACCGCCAGCCATGAGATTCATATCAGTCCTATTGTTCGTGCAGCAGCCGCGGGTTTGAGTCGAGATCAGAGCTGCATTGTGCCAGGCACTAAACAAGCACATAATAAGTGACAGCCCCCCTCCGCTACAGTCTATCTAATCAGGACATGCAGAAGGTGGGAGAAGGGATTTATTGTTATCCCTGTCTTACTGCTGAGCCAGAGGCAAAGCCGAGGACCGCAGCTGGATTTTCCAAGGCTCAAGGTGCAGCTTGTTGTTTCCCCTAATTTAGTGTAGCGGCCTCAAAAAAGTGGTCCTGCTTTTCTCCCCCCACTCCTCTGCAGCCAAGGAGCCGTGGGGATGCGTCAGTTCAGACAGCTCATCAAAAAAGCGGTCCTGCTTTTCTCCCCCTCCCTTGCTTTTCTCCCCCCGCTCCTCTGCAGCCAAGGAGCCGTGGGGATGCGTCAGTTCAGACAGCTCATTTGAAGGGAAAGCAACCCAAGAAAATAAACAAATAAGCATGGTTTTCCGTCAATTCAGTTGAAACAACTCCCGCTCTGGCCACGGGATCATTAGAGCTGGCAGACGAGGAGGAGAGGTGTCCCCGGGGGCGGGTGGCAGCGCAGCATCACATCTTGCATTGCCGACGGTTACGGCAGGTCAGGGCAAACTGGTCCCCAGCCCAGTGCCTCGTCCCTGCGGTCGGTACAGGAACGTACTGGGGCTCTGCGATGGGGTGGCACCAAGAGGAGGGGGAGCTGCTTAAAGGCAGCTTAATTTTCTCCCAAATACCTGGGAATTTGGCCCGTTAAAGTGGGTTTGATAAATACCGACTCTGCCGTGGTTGCCCGCTGCACTGTGGGACATCCCCATTCCTGCGATCCTAGTTCAAGTTTGACAGGAGTTTTTATTTGGTTGAGCAAGTAGACTATTCACGCCTAACACTTCTATGAGGTTACACGGACCAGAAAACTTGTCCCTCTGTGTGGTGCTTGTCAAGGCAAAGTGTTCTTCAGCGCCTTTTTCCAGCCAAGAAACAGGATCGCTCACTCAGAAAAGTAGGTGCTGAAAAAAAAAAAGAGAAAAAAAGTCACATTGATATTTACAGAAGAGATCTATATTTATTGATAAAGAGGCCTGACAGAGCTGGTAATTCCCTGGGAATTAAGGAGAATCATAGAATCACAGAATCATTGAGGTTGGAAAAGACCTCTAAGATCATCGAGTCCAACCATCAACCCAACACCACCACCCACTAAACCATGTCCCTAAGCGCCTCATCTACGCGTCTTTTAAATACCTCCAGGGATGGGGACTCCACCACTTCCCTGGGCAGCCTGTTCCAATGTTTCACCACTCTTTCAGTAAAGACATTTTTCCTCATGTCCAATCTAAACCTCCCCTGGCACAACTTGAGGCCATTTCCTCTTGTCCCATCACTTGTTACTTGGGAGAAGAGACCGACCCCCCCCTCGCTACAACCTCCTTTCAGGTAGTTGTAGAGAGCGATGAGGTCTCCCCTCAGCCTCCTCTTCTCCAGGCTAAACAACCCCAGTTCCCTCAGCCGCTCCTCATCAGACTTGTTCTCCAAAGGGAATTGCTGTGCGGGAAGAGAGCTTGTAAAGGGGATAACACCGTGAAGTGTAACGCCAACCCATTATCCCAGCAGCTGGGCTGGGGTCGGTGGGAGCTCCTGCGGAGCGAACTGAGCCCCGGGACGGAGAACAGCTAACAGTGCGAGCTGTGGGAGCCCTTTCCCACTCCCCAAACGCAGCTGTTAACGTCCATTAGGCAGACGGTGTAAGCGGATGCCCCAGAAAACCAGCACAGCCCTGGAGGGCCCGTAACTCCACACCAGGCTGAACATTAAGGAACTAATTTTAACTTCTAAGCAGCATCCTTTCTGCCAGCCATGGAGGGATTAGAGTAACAGTTTTTGAAATTATTTAAAAATAACATCAGACTTAATCATAGCTATTTATTAAATCCATTATCCTCTGTCAGTTATGGGACACTGATTTATTCAGCTGCGGAAACTATAATCACCTATGGCCAAAAATCTTAACGCTTTTTTTTTTTTTCCTAACGGGGCACAGTAATAATTATTCCTTTAGTCCCTGAATCTGTAACTCAGGGAACTGAAACAGAGAAATCTACGGTGAATTGGGGGATGAGACACAACGGAGTGATGGAGAAACCTTGGAATTACTGAAAAAACACATAATTTTATAGAAATCACGCGTGACCTTGCTCCATGGCACCTAGTAGGAGAAAGGCTAAGGAGCTCTCTAAAGGAGTGGAGTCCCTTGTAAATCATATAGGGAAGAGAAACCCCATGAAAACACCAGAAACCCCATATAAATCACAGGGTCTTGAGCCTCTGGATGTCACTTTGCTGTCAGGGACTCCATGTGCAGCTTAATTAGACAGGGAGAGGAGCTTTCCCGTTCTCCTGCCCGCACAGTGCGGCTCCGGCGGTTTCCCTTGCTCTGGCGCCTCCCATTATCACAGCTGAGGAGAGCATTTCAACAGAAATCAGTGTCTTTGTTTAAAATGTGTATTTAGGGGCCTTTGTTTGAAAGCCATGCTTAGGAAATGCTAAAAAGAGGATTCAACACGCATATTCCACCTGATCCTAGGAGCTGAAGATAATTTTTTGCTAAGCCCGGGGGCGATATTCGTCTCTGTTTCAACTGCTTCACATCTCATACAAGCACTGAGTTGGTAATGAGCTTTCGGGGGGGGGGGGGCCCCCAGTAATTACATCTCATTGTGCCATCTCCTTTCTGCCACTCCCCTGCTCTGAGGACTGTCCTGGCCAAGCCGGTGGGAGCAGCTCCCTGCGCACCAGCGCAGCCCCTGGGCAGCACCGTCCAGCTGGTGTGATCCTCCAAGCAGATTTGTTTTAACTGGGGCGGCTTGTATTCGGGGATTAGATAGGTAAAAATATGTACTCAAATTCCGCATGTCAGCCACCTAATCGGTGTGGTTCATTTTTCTGAGGCTGCGGTACGCAACTCCCTGGGAAAAAGGGGCAACAAGGGGAGGAGGAACGGCAGAGCTCCCTCCTGCCCGCTCCATCTTGTCTATTCTGCTCCTGAACGTTACAGGCAGAGTAAAGCGAACAGGAGGTGCCCGCAGCAGGAACGGAGCATTCCAGCAGGTGATCTTCCAAACGCAGGCGGTGAAGGACCTGCAGACCTGCTAATGAAGCTGCTGATGGCCCACGTTGAGACCACGGTAATCACAGTCCATGGTGAGGGGTAGGGCTGTGGTTTTACTGGTGCCCCTGCCCAGGGCTGTGGATGGTGCGTCAGAGATGGGGTGGAAAGCGGCCCCAGGCCTGTGCTGGAAGGGATTGACCCAGGGACAGTCCCAGGACGGGGCTGGGATTTGGGGCCCGTTTGCGAGATGAGGCTGGCCCAGTCCCACTGCTGGGGGCTGGGAGACATCCCTGTCCAGGATGAGCTTGTGGCTCCCGATGGTCTCTGGCTAAGCGTAAGGATTTGGTTGGTGGCGGTCCTTGGCTAGAACTAGACATAGAGCCCTGAGGCTGAAGGTTGGGGCTAGGGGAAGACTAACTGATAGACCTGCTTCAGGTTTAGGGTGGGCTCTGAGGGTTTTGGCTGTTCCTGACCTCTGTGTCAGATACATTTGGAGAGCTAAGGTAGGGCAGACAGGAAGGGATGGGCAGGCGCGCTGTTAGTCCCCACTCCCTTCCAGATCTGGGCAGAGACCTGTTTTCTGACTGTTAACGCTCCTCTGGTGTTGGCAGACGCAGCTAAACCCTGGTGGAACAGTTGGCTTAGCCCTCTGTACAGCTGGTCCACCTAGGGCAGAGACACTTGGCAGAGCTCTGTGTCGCTCCATGAGCACGAGTGGCCAAAGTCTATGCCATGGCTTAAAAATTCCCAACCTTGCCAACGGTCTGTGTGGGGTCAATTTGATGCCACATGCCAGAGGTTTCAGGGAATTTTGTCCCCTCTTTTTTCCTTTAACAAAAACCTTCAGAAGTTTTGGGGCTGTTTGTTTTGCCTCCGTAATTCCTTGCATTAAAAGAGTCCCACAGTTGGAAAGCTGAGCACTGAAAAGTTAAGACACCAGAAAGACTTTAACTTTGCTTTCATGTGCATACACTTCCCCGTAGAGTTTTTGATCATATAACCGCACAGACTGTCTTCTGCAGGACCCGTGACTCACTGAGCACCTAGTGGGATTTGAAAGCACTTGGCGTCTTCCCCATCAGACCCTCTGTGCCTCACGAGCAGCGACCTGCCCTTGTTTGGTTAGAGACTGGTCGGGTCTCCGTACAGCCAATACCCCTCCAGCCCTCACAAGAATACACTGATCCTCCCCAAGCAAGCAACAGACAACAGCTGAGAATGAGGATACAGCTTTCGTTACAGAACCAGCATTATTTTTTAAATGACTAATAAATGCAAAAACATCTTGCAGGCTCCTGGGCCAGGTCTTTATATAACCCTGTGATCCTTCAGCAGGGCTTTCTGATCCAGATACCATTCCTTCCCTAACCACCAGAGATCAGTTTGCTGCTGCTGCTGCTACTGAAATGCAACCCCAAAAGGCAGCATCTGAACCGAGTTCCTCGTTACTCCAAGGCTTGCCACTACAGCGCAAAGGCTGAGGCTCTACAGCGAGCCGTCAAAAGTGGGTTTGTGCTGCCTGTTCCTCTCCCTGCCCTCCGTACATTTACAACCTCCTTCTTTGTAACTGGGAATGTCATTATGGACACCCGGCCTGCTGTGTTTAGCCTGGGATCCCTGGCAGCGCTAAGAGGGAGAGACCAGAGCCTTTCTTCCATGTGGTCTGTGCTATATGGGCTGATTTGCCCCTTACCTGAAGACCATTTTCCAATCTGAAACATGGTTACGCTCCCCATCCCTTCAGGCAGGAAAGCTGGACTCTTAGTCTCACTGTAAGATGATGAAGAAATCTGTGTCAGAGCAAGAAACTGAGCCCACACCAAAGGCAAGCATCCTGCTTAGCCGACAACTCCCTCCCCGTGATCCGTCGCCTGCAGAGCTCCCTGTGCAGCGCTGTCAGTTCACGTCACTGCAGAACACGTCTCCTTCATTTTCTAAGAGAACGTTCAAAAACCTCCTTTACCAGAAAATACAATCGTTGTAACGGGATGTGGCTGGAGGAACCAGCTGCAGCCCAACCCGGGCCGTCGCAGCGGGATTTACAGAGTGCCCTGATGTGCTGGAGAACAGCGTGGCCAGGGGCGATACAGGACGGGGCCTATGCTATGGAAACTGCAATGACATTTCATTAAACTCAGCAAGAGGCATCCTAGTCACTCAGGAAGCAATTTGGCTGAGTTCTAGCCGTTGCTGATCTGTCCATGGGCTGAGCGAGCTTGTAGCTATTTAAGGTTTGCCATTTTGACCTGTATCACTTCATGGAGAGATCCAATTGCTCCCTTTGCAGCTCATTCCTCCTATGCAGTCAGAACAGACATTTATGCACGTTACTCATGAGTGAACAGGTCAGAACCCATTGTTTATTTGATGCATTTCACGTCTTTCTCTAAGATGTTTGTCTGGGAACTGTTTATAATCCTCATTCACAGATTCAAGTTTTGAAATAATTACCTAAAAAAGCCCAGAAAACATGACTTGCTCCGCATACATTCCTGAGAAGTTAATCACAATTCTCAATATTCAAGACTCAGGCTGGCCACGGTTTCTGTGGTATTATTCTGCTCCCAACGGGACACGCTGAGTTCTTAGAATCAGATTTTCAGGGTGAAGAGTCAGTTACAAATTCAAGAGATGGGTGTAACATGAACTCTCTAATTTTCACCTCGAAGCGGCTGTTTATCTGAATCTTCCTGCTTGGAAACTCTATCCCAAGCGTATTCACCCGAAACATCCACCATGGCAATATTTGCAGAGTAACCACGTCCCAGACACTCCAGCTGAGGCAAATATAGCAGAGAAATACTTAAAGCTGATACAGAAGCAGTTGTCTTTTGGGGCAGTTCACATTCACTGAGCCACTGAAACAAGCAAGACTGTAACACAACAATGGTCTTCATCCTCTCTGCTTGTAGCAAACACACAGAATTCATTCATCATAAACATGGGGCCTAGAAATTATTTTAAAACGAAACTTTAATTCCATCACCAATGTAGCTGCTCCTGCCAAGGATTCAGTCTGAGGTTTGTCTGCCAAACACCAGCTCCTCTCACCGATGAAATCCGCCAGTCCACCTCGGCAAGAAGGGCAGAGCCGAAGTTGTGACTTTGAACGAGGGCTTCACTAGACGGTCGTCCTATTTCAGCTTCTTGTCCCTATGCTCCAGCAGCTGAGTTCATAAAACACCCTATAAGGAAAGGAAAGACAAGGAGAAATCCCCAGGAAACAACGCATTATCCGATCTCTCCTGAGGGACCAAAGTTTTCCCAATCAGGCTCCCAGCGCTACAGCCTGCTGAACTTAGGGATAAGGAATGTTTTGTCTCTTCTAAAACGTGAAGTGCTGGCTCAGGCCCTTTGGACAGCTATGAAAGAGCCTGGCCAGCCCTTGTAAACACACATCTTCCAGGATCATGGGTTTAGCCTGGTAGGTACTTGCTGTGTGTGATTGCGGGGAAGAGGTAAAGGGGTGGGGATCAGCAAGGACCTGATACCTCCGTGGGGCAGAAACTGCAAGCAGAGGCAGAAAGAGAAAAGGACAGTGCCTGCAGGTGTACGTGAAGACCGTCTGGATTTATATTCACTGTGTTTTACAAGAAGTAGCCTTGAACTCACAGGTCTTTTAACCGTAAGTTAATTAAATTCCATGTGATCTTTGGGAAATGAAATTTCGGAATTTTAACTCACCAATGGCTGGCACGGCCTTACCACTTCCTTGAGCTATGGCTTTTGGGACTACATTTACGCCTAAGCTTTTAAAAACGTGTGTTGTGTCTGGGTACCTAAACAACAGAGTTGAGGGCTGCCTGTCGAGAAGCTAAGCGCCAGTCACTCCTACTGACTTCAGACCGAAAGGCCAGAATAAAGTAGACTTTTTGTCGGTACTTTGCCAAAGACCGGACTGACAATGGGTGGACAACTCTGAAGATTTACGTTGTCGTCATGCTGTGCCTCAGTTTCCCCAGCTGTAAAAGGATGGTGAGGCATAAAGAATTTAAAGTTCCTTAAAGGTCTGAGACCTGCACCCAAGAAACTGCTTGATGCAAGTATGAACTATTTTCGGTCACATGCATTTGTCTTCTGTAGGTGTTTCGTTTAACATTTCATTGATCTGTTTCAGAGACCATGCGAGTCCATGTCTTTCAGGGAGGTGAGAGATACAGTGTAGTCCTGAGCTTTCTGTGGAAAGGGGCCACAGAATCAAGTCTCAAAAATACACTGCAGATGCGGGCATCTAAGCCCAGCAAGTCTACAGATTTAATGATATAGATTGAAGGGGGAAATCATTGCTGAGCTGTTACAGTTCCTTATCTCTCCCTGATCAGAAGTAGAAATAGACAGAGGAAAGTTTCTCCTTCCTGCTTTATGGGTGAAATTCATTCCAGAGCAGCAGACTGCAACTGATCCAGAGAAGGGCAACGAGGCTGGTGAGGGGTCTGGAGAACAAGTCTGATGAGGAGCGGCTGAGGGAACTGGGGTTGTTCAGCCTGGAGAAAAGGAGGCTGAGGGGAGACCTCATCGCTCTCTACAACTACCTGAAAGGAGGTTGTAGCGAGGTGGGGGTCGGTCTCTTCTCCCAAGTAACAAGCGATAGGACAAGACGAAATGGCCTCAAGTTGCTCCAGGGGAGGTTTAGATTGGACGGGAGGAAAAATGTCTTTACTGAAAGAGTGGTGAAACATTGGAACAGGCTGCCCAGGGAAGTGGTGGAGTCCCCATCCCTGGAGGTATTTAAAAGACGAGTAGATGAGGCACTTAGGGACATGGTTTAGTGGGCATGGGGGTGTTGGGTCGATGGTTGGACTCGATGATCTTAGAGGTCTTTTCCAACCTCAGTGATTCTATGATTCTATGATTCTATGATAGTGTTACACCAGGACCTTCTTGAGCCCTGAAACTGGCTTCCAAAGGTGCAGCACTGCTGCCTTGGAGTCCTTGCACGCATATATTTTTAGACCACTAAGGTTTTCAGGAGGATGGTGGGGGAAATGAGATCACCAGAAGGGTCAGCGCAGCCATTGTCTCTAACCAGTGCCAAGCTATTCTGACTTTAGCCCAAGCAGTAGCCTCTAAAACCAGACCCTGCCGGCAGAGTCCCCCGCCCACCCCAGGGGCTTCTCCGGCTTACCCCAGACTGGCTCCTCTAACTCCTGCGCAGATGGCGTGACTCACAAGGCCGGGGCGAAGCATTGCTTGGGGCTGTCAGCACGGGGGCCGCAGAGGTGGAAAGAACAGCCCTCGGCCTGGGCAGTGTGTCCACACAGCAAAACAAAGCCACAGCATAGCCCATGTTCCCTTTAATCTAAGTGATGCACAGTAGTGATGAAATCAGCTTTGCCTCTGCAGGGAGCAACAAGTTGAGCAGGTATTGTAGGTCCCCAGGAGGCACGTCTTTAGGTAGCTGGACACTGACGAAGACTACTCACCATCAGCAGTTTGACTGTTGCCTTGACAATATTAAAGCTAGTTCAGATGTGTGGGTGGGGGAAGTAAGACTGCCTGGAGTGTGGGACATAGTCTGCTCCCAACATGGAACAGATCCCAAAAAATGCAAAGCCTTGGGACGTGAGTCACGTCCTTGAAATTCCCTGCTCCCTCCTGTGGGATGGCTTTGCCACAGGTATGGTGTCAGGTTGTGACAAGGGTGAAAACCACCAAGGGGCATGTGGAGTGGATGCGCCACGGACTCTCCTGGATGACCCTGGTGGGTTTTGATGGCTGAGGACAGGAGCTGATGAACCGGGTCCTCCCTTTCAGGTTCCTCTGAACCCCTCTTACAGCTGTGCCTGCCTTTGTGCTATTTTGTGCGCTGCTGTAGCCTTTCATGCTAAGAGGGTTTATACCCATACTGCACAGGAGGCATCTGCACGGGAGTTGCCCTACCCCAGGGAGAGAGTGAGAAGTTCTGTGGTTGCTCTGACTTACAGCTACTTCATGGGTTTCTCTGGGAACCACAGAAAACCACCAACACCCTCAGTACTCCCAAAATCCCACTGGCACCCCCCATCCAAGAACTGTCCTCACCAGAATTGGGCCTTAGGGTCTTACAGTGTTCAGGAACAAAAGACGGGAGGAAGGCCCTCCTTCTCAGCCATAGGCAGGTTCCCAGTGGCTCAGCACTAGACAAGGAGGAAGGCTGAAGAGAAAGTGGGAACATTCTCCCTATTTCTCCTCAGTTCATCTCTCACTTTCTCGCCCCTCTTAGGAACTACCACCCAGGTTTGGGATGTTGACTTGCCTGTTCCTTCTGCTGCAGGTTCCTATTGAACTGGAAGGTATT